AAGCCAGCCTCCAGCAGCTGATGGCGGGGTGGAGGAGCAGCAGCCAGCCTCCAGCAGCTGGTGGCGGGGTGGAGGAGCAGAAGCCAGCCTCCAGCAGCTGATGGCGGGGTGGAGGAGCTGCAGCCAGCCTCCAGCAGCTGATGGCGGGGTGCAGGAGCTGCAGGCAGCCTCCAGCAGCTGATGGAGGGGTGCAGGAGCACTGTTAAAAATCCAACTTGCAATTTGTTTGGAGAGTTTAAAGTTTTAAGTTAGTTGAACGTTTTAACTTGCAAAATGTTAAGTCAATACAGAAAAAACAGTTATCCCCACTTAAGTTGCGATTTTGTCCACTGACTGTAAAATAAAAAGTTGAGACAACTTGATACTTTAAATAGACGGTTGTGCCTTTAACTTGAAGCCTCTGCGCATGTGCTGTCGTCAGTAAGATATACGGGGTTTCCCAAGCCATGCAGCCAGCCGCAGAGTGGGCAGGGGGCACCTCATGTTGGCATCTCTTTGAGCAGAAGGTAAGTGCTATTTTATTTGCATTTTTATGTCAAAACAGTCTCAATGAATATATAAAAATGTTTTTATTAACGATTCCACATCCCTAACATACATAAGACCCCTTCAAAATATCCCACGTTTCCAAGTTAAATGAACTCAGTGGAAGTTGCAGGTGATTCAGATTAAGCTAGCGTTACATGATTAACCTTACGGTTTAGGCTGTACAGATTTGAACACTATCGTAAAAGTAAGCTGAAACGCAGTTTAAATGTTAACGAGGTGCCGCGCCGACCGACGGGCTATAGTGAATGTAGGACGTAAGCGTTTTCAGATAAACTCCGAAGCTGAGCCTGCTCCAGTTATGTTGAGCTAACCCTGCACTCCCCTGTAGAATTCCGCCAAAACTCGTGCACGCGTATTGTCCACATCGCGCGTGCGAACGGGACTCGCGCGTGGAAGTTAGAACCTCACGAGTGAAAATATACATGGTGAGAAGGTCATTTGTACACTAAGAGCAAACTGTGTCTGTGAGCGCACAAGGATGTGCACAAGTGACAAACCTGCGTGCGCGCATTGGCCAACGAGCACACAGTAGAGGAAAACGTGCACGCGGCAGCCTTTCTGCGCGCTCGGTTTCTGATTCTGCTCGCTCGGCTGTTGGGAGTTTTGGCACTCTGGAGGCGTGGAAGAATTAAAATGCCAGAAATTGAGCACTTGAACTTTCAATTTGAGAGCAGAATTTCATATCAAGTGATCAACTTTTTATTTTGAGAATAAGATTTTATATTATTGCTCTCAAAACTTGTAATGCTTGCACTCAAAATGTCTGCTCTCTTTCAAATTCACTCTGTTCTCCTTCAAATATTTTTCTGCGCTCAGATTTAACCTTCTTACACTGGTATTGTCTTCTCTCGTCACAACTTTTTCTCTGCACGGATCAAAACTCCTCCCACAAGTCTGTCCCCTGCTCTCACGGATTTGTCTGCTCTGTACTTCCAAGTTTTGAGCAAATCTCCCAGCAACCGCTCAGCCAATAGAAAGACTTGTGGGGCTGGGCGGGAACAAACCTCTTTGGGGTGCGCTCGTTTTGACGCTCTGTAGATTTTCCTGTGGCTGCCGCAAGTGTATGTTAAGTGAGGATCATTATTTTATAACCAGATACAGCTGCTCTGTTTCTTTTTAGTTTAATTCAACTGAGTTGATTTAGCTTCTTTTCTGCTCTCAAAATGCATTTTTGGTTGTCCATTTAAATGTTTAAAATTTTACCACCCAACAACCCCATGTCACACTTTACACACCACTGTCGGGCCTTCAGCTCCCTTTCCACCACTGTGCTCTGAAATCCATCTTCCCCTCATCCTGTATTCCATCAGCAACATTGTATACATTCTATGTACCCTTTTCATGCTTATAATTCAAATGCCCAGTGTGAGAAAATTAAACATTATATATATCTTTGACTAAAACAAAAAATATATGCACATCTGACAGTCATAGCTTTATCTACCGACAAATTTAATAGATTTGTTTTATTCAGTTAGCTTGTTAGATCCACTTTTTGTTTTTGAAATTGGACACCTTGTTTTACAGAAAACTAATATTTTTGTTGATACTTGTTAATATTCCCTTTTTTTCTTCCTTAGGTTGGAATGCAGTGCAAGCTTTGCAAATTTGACCACCCCAGTCAGGAGGTCCTCTTGAAGCATTACAGATTACACCACTATCAAGGACGACCTTGGCAGCTGCCTTGTTTGTACACGGATTGCTTCTGCACTTTTAAAACAGAAGGTGCGTTAAAATCCCATTTGACAAGAGCACATAAGCAGTCTGTTACAGTTCCCAAACACCTCTATTTTACTTGCGAGTTGTGTGATTTTAAAAAAGTTTGCCAGCCATCCCAGTTTATAATCCATTTAAGAAATCATGTGAAGAGATATGACACTGTCAAATGTCCTTTTAAGGATTGTGACCTAAAAACCAATGTCCTTACCACGCTAAGTAGTCACATATCACGCAAACACAAGTCACGCAAATTTCATGATTTTAGCGCTTCTGTTACGTGTCAAACACAGCATTTAGAAAGCAATGAAGAGGCCTGGCCTGAAGATGAAGAGCCTATTGCTGATCCAACATCCACAACTGCAGAGAATCCTGTTCCTGCTGAATTCCATGAACCTGAAACAAGCAGTTTTTCAGAGCCTGTCAGTTATTTGGAACTAGAACGCAAACTTGCATCACTCATCCTCTATATGCAAACAGTATTGCATGTTTCAAAAAATGCTACTCAGGAGATTCTGAACTGGATCAGTGATATTGTGTCCTGTTCTAAGTATACGGCAAAGCAGTCTATCCAGGCGATTTTAGCCAAATATGAAAGTCACATTGATGAGCGTCAGTCAGAAGAACTTGCTGAATTGATATCAGCAGAGGTGCTTAAAACAAATCCTGTGTTCACAGCCACTACAAACAAGGGTATACTCTCAACAGAACATAAGAGGAATGCATATTTTAGAGAGCATTTTCAAGTAGTTGATCCTGTGGAATACCGTTTTCATAGGCTACATCAAAATACTTTTGTTTATGTCCCACTGTTGAGAGTTCTTGAAACCTTACTGAATAGAACTGATGTCTTTGAAAAAGCCATTTTTGCTGAGGATGTCTTGCCAGGACAATATACATCTACTCGTAGTGGCCAGTACTACAACGAGAACAAACTTTTAGGTGCCCAAAGTGATTGCATTTCACTGTCTCTCTACATCGATGAATTTGAAGTTTGCAATCCTCTCGGCACTTCAAAAAAAATCCATAAAATTACTGCTGTTTACTGGGTATTATTAAATTTGCCTGCAAAATTCCGTTCTACACTTCCTGCTATACAACTGGTTCTGCTGGGAAAAACTAATGACTTAAAACATTTTGGCTATGAAAAAATGTTTCATCCATTATTAAAAGATTTATGTCATTTGGAGGAGCAAGGTGTCTTTGTAGAAGCACTGCAAACTTCCCTTAAAGGAACAGTGTATTGTGTGTGTGCAGACAATCTGGGGGCACATGGTCTAGCAGGTTTTCAGGAAAGCTTTCAAGCTGAAAACCTGTGCAGATTTTGCAACGTGAGCAAAAATGACATACAAACCAAAGATGCTTCCTGTTTTCAACTTAGAACCATTGAGCAGCACACTGCCATTATCAATGAACTGAAAGACCAACCCGAACTCCAGAGTAGGCTTGGCGTAAAAAGAGAGTGTGTCCTCAGTAAACACCTGACTTTCTTTCACCCAATAACAGGGTTTCCGCCTGATGTGTTGCATGACACACTGGAAGGAATTGTCCCATTCGAGCTATCCATTTGCCTAAAAGAGCTAATAAAAAAAGGACACTTTAGTCTTGACACCCTAAACCACCGTATTAAGTCCTTTCCTTACAAGGACTCAGACAGAGTCAATAAACCCAAAGTCATTTCCCAGTTGAGCTTCTCAAAGAAAACAATCGGTGGGAATGGGCATGAAAACTGGGCACTGCTACGGTTACTGCCATTAATCATCAGTCACTTGTTCCAAACTCTGACCCTATTTGGGATATTTTGATGGACTTAAGAGAAATAGTGGAGTTGGTCATGTCAGTCCAGTTTTCAGAACATACATTGGCATACTTGGAACGGAAAATTTTAGAACACCGTCACCACCTTCAAGAATCATTCCCAAACGTAAAACTGAAACCAAAGCACCATTACTTGGAGCATTACCCTCACCTCATTCGCTGTTTTGGTCCGTTAGTTGAGCTATGGACAATAAGATTTGAAGCCAAGCACAGCTATTTCAAGAGTGTGATAAAAGATGTGCGAAATTTCAAAAACATTCCAGTTACTCTGGCAACAAAGCACCAGCTTCTGATGGCCCACTATCTAAATGGTCCAAATTTTTTTTTCATCATCTTTATCAGTGAAAAAACTAAAAACTGTGAATGTGTCTTCTTTAGAGATGCTGCAGAGGGCAGCTGTCAAAAGAAGATATCCACACAGAGATGCTATGATGTTTGCATCAGATGTAGAGGTTCATGGAATTCACTTCAGTGAAGGGATGATTTTATCCTCTGGTCAGTGCAGTGGTTTGCCTGATTTTTTCAAGATACTCAGTGTCATTGTGAATGCCAATAAGGTGGCCTTTCTTTGCAAGAAACTTTCTTCATTGTTTATTGAGCACTATAGGTGTTACGAAGTTTCTGAAACAAGCACAGTTGAAGTTCTTGAGCCAGAAGACCTTAATGACTTTCATCCACTCATGTTCTATGTAGTTCAGGGAAAGAACATTGTTGCAGTGAAACGATTTCTTCTTAATTAGGTTTTAACATAAAACTAAGTGTCAAGTATAAGGATACCAGGATCTTGAAGCCTCACCCTCTATTTGTGATTTCAAGAAATTTTGTTTATCTTTTTTCTTTGTAGAATATGCGTCTACGTGTGGTGTTGGCTGCAGACAACATTAGAAGGTTGGATATTTCTCAAGATGTCTCTTCAGTTGAACAACTGGAACAAATTCTTAAGGAAAAGCTGGAAATCAAGGATAACTTTCAGATTCAGTTTGAGGACCCAGAGTTTGGGAATGAACTTTGTAATTTGACTAATATAACAGAACTTCCACCTGATAGAGCAGTACTGAAGATCATCCAAAAACCATTAGATACAGATGTACAGAGTCATGCTTCCTCTTTGGACCCATCCATTACATCTTCCTCATTAAATACCCCAACTTGCTCAAGTCAAGATCCTGTGTCTTTGACAGTCAAACAACGTGAGGCTTTGCCATGGCCATCTTTCTTTGTGATTCCTGAGTTTGCTTATGATGTTGAACTACGCCTAGAAAAAGCAAATAAGGAATATAAAGAAAATGGAAAGCTTCTTCTTACAATGTCAAGAGAAATTAAGATGGATATACTGGCTACCATAGCTCAAACAGTTTTTGCATTCAAGGCTTATCCAACCAAACAAGAGTTGGAGTCAGTGGCTTCTGCACTGATTGAGAAACACCCTTGTCTTAGAGATCCAGGTCCTGGACCTGGCCATCATAGCTGGACTATGAGCATAATATATAAGATGGGTAACTACCGCCAGAAGCTACAGTCCGCTGGTTGCTCAGAAGTCCTTGTGAACCGTAAAAGGTCAAAACATGACTCTAGACCTTTAAAGAAAGCCAAGAGGTGTGAGGTCAATTTCCTTCCAGACAACCCAACTGGACAGACAGATTCTTCCCTCCAAAAAGAAAAAGATGAACTTAAAGAAGAAATGCAGAAAAAGCATCCAAACATGGCAGCTGTCAAGTCCAAGATGGAACTAACATTTTCACTTAGAAGAAAAGAGATAGTTTCTGAAGAACCTCTGGTGGATGATGTCTTAAAACAGTGGCCAGCATTGTTTTTACCTGATCAGGTAAGGTTGTTTTTTTTCCCTTCAAATAGTTGGTCTTCACTGTTTTAGTTTTTAAATATTGTTTACCTGTCTTATAGGTATGTGCTGAGTTTTTCCGAATTACCCGAACTAACCTGACAAGCAGATTCTTCACGTCTTTGGATGAGTATGCACCAAAAATGATTAAAGTGTACCGTGCAAGTGGTGCAGCTTGTGGAGAAGGCATGAAGAGCCTTTTAGAAAAACTTGATGACCAAGTAAGTAATCTAAGCCATTTTTCATATTTTAACTTCATGCTTTTGATTACATGTCTCACATTTGTTTGGTGTCATTGTTTTCAGACATCTGATGTGCTCAGCTGCAGAAAGGCTACTGCTCTTAGAGGTCTGCCCATGTTTATGGATAAACATTCTGGGAGCCTTCTGAAAGATTGTCTGGTGAGTAAATGTAATTCAGATGCACACATTTACAAATACTCTGGTAAAAAAATATTGGTCTTTAATTAAACACTGATATTTAAACTCGAACCTGTAATCTAAATACTAATAATAATCAGATTTAGCAGAAACCAAATCACAATCCAAACACATTTTTGTGTAAAGCCCTACATTTCTTTTTTTTTCTTTTCTTTCTTTTTTTTTTAAGGTTTTATGGCCACAACAGCTTTTATTTGATAGGGACATGGGAGGAAACAGGAGAGAGAGGTGGGGGAGGACATGCGGCAAAGGGCGCTCAGGTCTGGGGTCGATCCTGGTCCGGCCGCTGCGGCATCACTGCCTCGTATATGGTCGCCCGTTTTATCCCCTCCACCAATGCGACGCCCACTACATTTCATTTTTAACCTTTTAAATGGTGTGGACGGCCCCATTCCCAGTTAAATGTGTCGAACATATTGAAGCATAAATACGTGTCCTTGGAAATTTGGGAACAGGTGTTGTGGCAGGGCGACCGCATCACATTCGGGTTTCAGGTCCCAGTTTGCTTTGAACACGTGGCCCGACAACGTCCCGCAAAGCCCTGTTGGGATCAGGACTGTGTCACGTTGAGGAGTATTTGCTGGCGGACCATGTGTGGTGGAGCTGACCAGGAGGCAAAAAAGGCAGGCATGGATAAAGTAAAAAATGATTTAATGGTAGAGCGGGAACGAACAGCACAAGACAACAATGACAAACAAACCACAATGATCTGACACAGGACATACGAGACGGGAGGTATAAATACACTGGGGAAAATCAGGAACACATGGGCAGGTTAACAAGGGGCAGGTGGAACCAATAGGGACTAATCCAAGGGCAGGGGCAGATCATGACAGACTGCACGCTTTGGAGCAGAGGCGCCCGCCTCAGACGCAGCCCTGGGTGACGTGCAGACCGGTGCATCCTATCACAGCATGTGTCGGGGTGATTGTTTTTGACCATTTGGTTGTTGGACGTAACAGTGACTAAGGGGGTGGGACTTTGTGAAAGGCTAATTACACTAAATAGTAAAAACTGTTATTCATCTAGTATTTAGTTTCAGCTCCACTTTGAGATTTCAGTAAACGGCATTACAATCAAAATGCAGGGTTTCCCTTACATAGGCGTAGCCGTGGGAGGCAGCCACAGCTGAAATCCCACCGCCACGCCTACAAGATCCCAAGTTTTATTTTTTTATTTTTATTTTTTTGCGCCGTTTCCCGAAGAAGCAGCGGGAACTACTGTGTTGTCGCTTGTGATCACAGCCGGCAGGCAGCAAGGAGCAGGCAGGGCAAGGTGAAGTTACAGCATGTTACTGAGTTTAAAATTAGAAAGGTAGCAGTGGATATAATGCTTTTTGGTTTACATGTTTCAATAGCTTTAAGATAAATGAGTGTTGACGATCTTGACAGGGTTTCCTCCCCCCACCAGGTTAAGCATCACTTATTCATGTAAAATTTATTTATTTTTTCATGTCTGACTTTAACCGCATCTAATACTGTATTACGGCGTGAGCGCAACAGCGACAACTTAAGATCGATGTGTGAGCAGCCTGAGAGGTCGGGTGTTTTCATCTGAACCCTTAAAACCTCCAGCAGGCTACGCTGCACTATTGACGTTTTAGCACGCGGCGCTAACAACTTAGCGACGTGACATGTCTCGGAGAAAGCGTAAAAATACGTTGGACGCTTCTTCTGAAGCGGGAAAATAACACCTCTTCTTAAGCAGAGCACGACGTCGCCTCGGCTCGTTCACCCTCTGCCGAGCTGGACTGAGCTCGATAACATTGACCCAGCACAGCCACTGGGTCGTTGGAGCTGCCCCGTGACTGCCTGATGGAAAACCAGCGGGTTTCATCAGACTCGTAAAGTTTCTTGTTTTTGCTGGGGACCCCCTGTATTTATGCTCAGAGAGCTGTTTTTCCCCCCCAACACGAGTAACCAGAAAGTTTCTGCTCCCTCTTTTCTCTGCCTCCTGAACTCTGTCTGCTTTCCCCCCCCCCCCCCGATATATGTATTTTGGTCGCTGCATCGGTATGTATGTGTGTAGGGGATGCTTGTGTGTGTCTGTTATGTTTTATCTCTGTTGTGTGTTTAGATATACTATCGCAGAATTTAATTTAGAAAATGCTTTATTTTGTTACATTTATCAGTCTGCCTCTTAAGTGTCTGGGTTTGACTTACTGCCAGAATTGACGCGGTTCGCTGCACTGAGCAGGCTGGCAGACAATCAATCAAATCAGACAATTTAGACTATCAGACAATCAAATCAATGCTGCAGCACAGAAAGAACAGCGAAGCCGTTTACAAGAAGGGACACAGCAGACTGCACTTGTTGAGGATGCTTAGGTCCTTCAATGTCTGTAGCAAGATGCTGCAGATCTTCTACAAGTCTGTTGTTGAGAGTGTAATCTCTTCAGCCATCGTCTGTTGGGGTAGCAGCATCAGAAGCAGGGACCTGAAAAGGCTCAATAACCTAATAAAAAGGCTGGTTCTGTTCTGGGGACGACTGTGGAACCGCTGGAGGAGATAATGCAAAGAAGGATTCTCCAGAGAATCAAGAAAATGATGGACAACCCTGAGCATTCTCTTCACAAGACTGTCCGACAACGGAAGAGTGTCTTCAGTAAGAGGCTTCTTCAGTTTGGCTGCAACACTGACCGCTCCTGGAGATCCTTCCTGCCAACAGCCATCGTGATCTACAATAACTCTTTGAAGACTTGATTATTATTATTATTATTCTGAGCTACTACAGCAATCAATTTCTGCCTGGGATTAATAAAGTATTTTTGAATTGAATTGAATACAGACTCAAATGCTGGTTAAGATCTTAGTCCTTTTTTCCTCTGCAAAACTGTTAAGATGTGGATTTATAGGTACCAACATTAAGTTGTTACATTTAGTTTAAGTTTGTTGTATTGTCTTTACTGGGCATCTTTTAAGTTTCAGAACCTGGTTCTATTCACTTTTTGATACCTAATATTTTTTTTAGTTAAGATTTCCATGTTTAAGTCAGTGGGTTTAGCTGTTCCCACAGACAGCATAGTTTTAATCTCATTTCTTTGCTCTTTTTTTTAATAGGACACAGAGCCAGTAGAAGATCAGATTAACTCCATGAAGATGGGAATCTTGACCGTTATTGAAGACGATGTTGCCACCGTCCAGTCAAGCCCAAACATAAGGTTCTTTGCTGTTGTGCTGGAAGAACAGATTGTTGTGGATGAAGTAAGTGACCTACCAACTGCTTTTGCTCTCCTCTTTGGCCTCATCTATGCCCTCAACATGGACTACCCCAAGGAACTAAAATACACTTTTGAGACCATTCAAAAAGTGTTCATGTGCCTTGATCCCAAATGCTCAGCAAGAGTCCAGTCCTTCAAAAACAAGCTGTTACAGTATTGACATTCTAATGTACCGGTCTCTTCCAGTCATTTTCATGGTTCTAAATGTTAATGTTTTTATTCTCACGTTTGTAAGTTCACCATGACCAGTGAAGTTTTCTTGTTCTCTAACATTTTTGCTACTTTTGTAGTTTATCGCTGCAACTGATTGTTAGTAGTTTCATATTACTTATGGCGGCATGTATATGCCTTCAATGAAACAAATTAATTGTAACTCAAGTGTTACTTAGCTGTATCACCACATTTCAGATTCATGTGATTTAAAATGTTGAAATCAGATTGGCATCAAAGCTTTTGTAAAATTAATCTTCAGCATCCAATATCAATTCTGATGATTTGTCTTAGTTTCGAACAGAAATATGTCTTCATTTTCAGGTCAAAATAACCTGGTACTGGGTGATAATTATTAATTTTATCTTGTCTTTATTGCTGAAGCAGTTAGAGCTTTACCTTTTCAAAGATACTGGAAGTTTGCATGTATATACTGTAAGAAAGTATGTTACAACACTTACAGCAACTTCTTATATTTGCCATGTTATCAGTTTAAGTGGCTGATATATTTTATTGTAGTGTTAATGCTCCTGTATTGGTAATGAAATTTTGAATTTTACACATTTTGTAACTTTTTTTAAATGTGCCATTAGCATGTTAATAAATACATGCATGAAATTGAAATATTCAGTTTTGTGTTTTTAATGAAAGTGTTGTTTGTCAGCAAAATGTGGGAAGGACAGCACAGTTGAATTAGTTTATAGAACTGAATTCAAAAGTTGATTCAACTTAAAATATTAAAGCAACTGGCTGCAAACCCTTTTTGAGTTCAGTCAACTTTTTGCAAGTAGGAAGTTGTGCCAACTTTTTATTTTAAGTTTATCTGGCCATTGACTCAACTACTTATTCTAAGTTTAGAGAACTATGTATCCCAATTTTTGCCAAACTTATTATCGTTAGTTCAGTAAACTCTTTATTCCTGGTTCTACAAATGTTACATTTCAATTTGGTTGTATTTATTATTAAAAGTAAGCATAAAATGCACGTATAAATTAGGCCAACTTAAATATGAGACTTGGCAAAGCAAGCACCTAAAAAGTTGACTGAACTTAAAATTGTATTGCAACTGGTTGCTTTACTTTTTTAAGTTCACTGGACTTTTTATTTTTTACAGTGAGCTGCAGGCAGCCTCCAGCAGCTGATGGCGGGGTGGAGGAGCTGCAGCCAGCCTCCAGCAGGTCATGGTGGGGTGTAGGAGCAGCAGCCAGCCTCCAGCAGCTGATGGCGGGGTGCAGGAGCAGCAGCCAGCCTCCAGCAGCTGATGGCGGGGTGCAGGAGCTGCAGCCAGCCTCCAGCTGGTGATGGCGGGGTGGAGGAGCAGCAGCCAGCCTCCAGCAGCCATCCTCCAGCTGCTGATGGCGGGGTGGAGGAACAGAAGCCTCCAGCAGCTGATGGCGGGGTGCAGGAGCTCCAGGCAGTCTCCAGCAGCTGATGGCGGGGTGCAGGAGCTGCAGCCAGCCTCCAGCTGGTGATGGCGGGGTGGAGGAGCAGCAGCCAGCCTCCAGCAGCCAGCCTCCAGCTGCTGATGGCGGGGTGGAGGAACACAAGCCTCCAGCAGCTGATGGCGGGGTGGAGGAGCTGCAGTCAGCCTCCAGCAGCTGATGGCGGGGTGCAGGAGCTGCAGGCAGCCTCCAGCAGCTGATGGCGGGGTGCAGGAGCTGCAGGCAGCCTCCAGCAGCTGATGACGGGGTGGAGGAGCTGCAGCCAGCCTCCAGCAGGTCATGGTGGGGTGGAGGAGCAGCAGCCAGCCTCCAGCTGCTGATGGCGGGTGGCAGGAGCAGCAGCCAGCCTCCAGCAGCTGATGGTGGGGTGCAGGAGCTGCAGGCAGCCTCCAGCAGCTTATGGCGGGGTGCAGGAGCTTCAGCCAGCCTCCAGCTGGTGATGGCGGGTTGGAGGAGCAGCAGCCAGCCTCCAGCTGCTGATGGCGGGGTGGAGGAACAGAAGCCTCCAGCAGCTGATGGCGGGGTGCAGGAGCTCCAGGCAGCCTCCAGCAGCTGATGGCGGGGTGCAGGAGCTGCAGCCAGCCTCCAGCTGGTGATGGCGGGGTGGAGGAACAGAAGCCTCCAGCAGCTGATGGCGGGGTGCAGGAGCAGCAGCCAGCCTCCAGCAGCTGGTGGCGGGGTGGAGGAGCAGAAGCCAGCCTCCAGCAGCTGATGGCGGGGTGGAGGAGCAGCAGCCAGCCTCCAGCAGCTGGTGGCGGGGTGGAGGAGCAGAAGCCAGCCTCCAGCAGCTGATGGCGGGGTGGAGGAGCTGCAGCCAGCCTCCAGCAGCTGATGGCGGGGTGCAGGAGCTGCAGGCAGCCTCCAGCAGCTGATGGCGGGGTGCAGGAGCTGCAGGCAGCCTCCAGCAGCTGATGGCGGGGTGGAGGAGCTGCAGCCAGCCTCCAGCAGGTCATGGTGGGGTGGAGGAGCAGCAGCCAGCCTCCAGCAGCTGATGGCGGGGTGCAGGAGCAGCAGCCAGCCTCCAGCAGCTGATGGCGGGGTGCAGGAGCTGCAGGCAGCCTCCAGCAGCTGATGGCGGGGTGCAGGAGCTGCAGCCAGCCTCCAGCTGGTGATGGCGGGGTGCAGGAGCTCCAAGCAGCCTCCAGCAGCTGACGGCGGGGTGCAGGAGCTGCAGCCAGCCTCCAGCTGGTGATGGCGGGGTGGAGGAGCAGCAGCCAGCCTCCAGCAGCCAGCCTCCAGCAGCTGATGGCGGGGTGGAGGAACAGAAGCCTCCAGCAGCTGATGGCGGGTTGCAGGAGCTGCAGGCAGCCTCCAGCAGCTGATGGCGGGGTGCAGGAGCTGCAGCCAGCCTCCAGCTGGTGATGGCGGGGTGGAGGAGCAGCAGCCAGCCTCCAGCAGCCAGCCTCCAGCTGCTGATGGCGGGGTGGAGGAACAGAATCCTCCAGCAGCTGATGGCGGGGTGCAGGAGCTGCAGGCAGCCTCCAGCAGCTGATGGCGGGGTGCAGGAGCTACAGCCAGCCTCCAGCTGGTGATGGCGGGGTGGAGGAGCAGCAGCCAGCCTCCAGCAGCCAGCCTCCAGCTACTGATGGCGGGGTGGAGGAACAGAAGCCTCCAGCAGCTGATGGCGGGGTGCAGGAGCTGCAGCCAGCCTCCAGCTGGTGATGGCGGGGTGGAGGAGCAGCAGCCAGCCTCCAGCAGCCAGCCTCCATCTGCTGATGGCGGGGTGGAGGAACAGAAGCCTCCAGCAGCTGATGGCGGGGTGCAGGAGCTGCAGGCAGCCTCCAGCAGCTGATGGCGGGTTGCAGGAGCTGTAGCCAGCCTCCAGCTGGTGATGGCGGGGTGGAGGAGCAGCAGCCAGCCTCCAGCAGCCAGCCTCCAGCTGCTGATGGCGGGGTGGAGGAACAGAAGCCTCCAGCAGCTGATGGCGGGGTGCAGGAGCTGCAGGCAGCCTCCAGCAGCTGATGTCGGGGTGCAGGAGCTACAGCCAGCCTCCAGCTGGTGATGGCGGGGTGGAGGAGCAGCAGCCAGCCTCCAGCAGCCAGCCTCCAGCTGCTGATGGCGGGGTGGAGGAACAGAAGCCTCCAGCAGCTGATGGCGGGGTGCAGGAGCTCCAGGCAGCCTCCAGCAGCTGATGGCGGGGTGCAGGAGCTGCAGCCAGCCTCCAGCTGGTGATGGCGGGGTGGAGGAGCAGCAGCCAGCCTCCAGCAGCCAGCCTCCAGCTGCTGATGGCGGGGTGGAGGAACAGAAGCCTCCAGCAGCTGATGGCGGGGTGCAGGAGCTCCAGGCAGCCTCCAGCAGCTGATGGCGGGGTGCAGGAGCTGCAGCCAGCCTCCAGCTGGTGATGGCGGGGTGGAGGAGCAGCAGCCAGCCTCCAGCAGCCAGCCTCCAGCTGCTGATGGCGGGGTGGAGGAACAGAAGCCTCCAGCAGCTGATGGCGGGGTGGAGGAGCAGAAGCCAGCCTCCAGCAGCTGATGGCGGGGTGGAGGAGCAGCAGCCAGCCTCCAGCAGCTGGTGGCGGGGTGGAGGAGCAGAAGCCAGCCTCCAGCAGCTGATGGCGGGGTGGAGGAGCTGCAGCCAGCCTCCAGCAGCTGATGGCGGGGTGCAGGAGCTGCAGGCAGCCTCCAGCAGCTGATGGAGGGGTGCAGGAGCTGCAGGCAGCCTCCAGCAGCTGATGGCGGGTAGGAGGAGCTGCAGCCAGCCTCCAGCAGGTCATGGTGGGGTGTAGGAGCAGCAGCCAGCCTCCAGCAGCTGATGGCGGGGTGCAGGAGCAGCAGCCAGCCTCCAGCAGCTGATGGCGGGGTGCAGGAGCTGCAGCCAGCCTCCAGCTGGTGATGGCGGGGTGGAGGAGCAGCAGCCAGCCTCCAGCAGCCAGCCTCCAGCTGCTGATGGCGGGGTGGAGGAACAGAAGCCTCCAGCAGCTGATGGCGGGGTGCAGGAGCTCCAGGCAGCCTCCAGCAGCTGATGGCGGGGTGCAGGAGCTGCAGCCAGCCTCCAGCTGGTGATGGCGGGGTGGAGGAGCAGCAGCCAGCCTCCAGCAGCCAGCCTCCAGCTGCTGATGGCGGGGTGGAGGAACAGAAGCCTCCAGCAGCTGATGGCGGGGTGCAGGGCAGCAGCCAGCCTCCAGCAGCTGGTGGCGGGGTGGAGGAGCAGAAGCCAGCCTCCAGCAGCTGATGGCGGGGTGGAGGAGCTGCAGCCAGCCTCCAGCAGCTGATGGCGGGGTGCAGGAGCTGCAGGCAGCCTCCAGCAGCTGATGGCGGGGTGCAGGAGCTGCAGGCAGCCTCCAGCAGCTGATGACGGGGTGGAGGAGCTGCAGCCAGCCTCCAGCAGGTCATGGAGGGGTGCAGGAGCTGCAGCCAGCCTCCAGCTGGTGATGGCGGGGTGGAGGAGCAGCAGCCAGCCTCCAGCTGCTGATGGCGGGGTGGAGGAACAGAAGCCTCCAGCAGCTGATGGCGGGGTGCAGGAGCTCCAGGCAGCCTCCAGCAGCTGATGGCGGGGTGCAGGAGCTGCAGCCAGCCTCCAGCTGGTGATGGCGGGGTGGAGGAGCAGCAGCCAGCCTCCAGCAGCCAGCCTCCAGCTGCTGATGGCGGGGTGGAGGAACAGAAGCCTCCAGCAGCTGATGGCGGGGTGCAGGAGCAGCAGCCAGCCTCCAGCAGCTGGTGGCGGGGTGGAGGAGCAGAAGTTAGCCTCCAGCAGCTGATGGCGGGGTGGAGGAGCAGCAGCCAGCCTCCAGCAGCTGGTGGCGGGGTGGAGGAGCAGAAGCCAGCCTCCAGCAGCTGATGGCGGGGTGGAGGAGCTGCAGCCAGCCTCCAGCAGCTGATGGCGGGGTGCAGGAGCTGCAGGCAGCCTCCAGCAGCTGATGGCGGGGTGCAGGAGCTGCAGGCAGCCTCCAGCAGCTGATGGCGGGGTGGAGGAGCTGCAGCCAGCCTCCAGCAGGTCATGGTGGGGTGGAGGAGCAGCAGCCAGCCTCCAGCAGCTGATGGCGG